ACTGTTTCCTGTATGTTGCCTTTGAATCTGGCAGAGCCTGCTTGGCTCTCCGGAGATGCTTAGGGAACCCACACTGAAGTTCATTGGTCCTTTAGGGACACCCTTGGGTCCCAGACTGAAGCTTAGCATGGAGGTAGCCCTGTCCCTCCTGTCTGGTCCCAGGCACACCCATCCTGGGGCTACAGGGTGACATGGCCAGGCAGCCAGCAGCCGGATGTCCATGGCCTCCTGTCTGCACTAACTTGGTTGGAAGGGCCAGCCACTGGCGGCAGGGGAGCAGTGGCTGGGATCTCTGGAGAAGGAATAGCCATGGCAGAACATGAAAATGGCCCGTGGAGATTGCGGTCACTGTCACTAGGCATGTGGGGGATAACAGCCATTTGCACTATTACTTTAAAAAACCGGTTGGTTAAATGAACTAAAGATGGTTGTGCAGTTCACATCACCCAAGTTAGAGAAGAGAGATGTGCAGGCTGGAAGTGGGAATGGCAGCAGCAGGAGGGCAGCAGGAGGCAGGCCAGCGAGCATTTCTTAGGTGCCCATGGGCTCTCCCAGCACCATGTGGAGCAGAGCCCCTGCCCCTCAGGCCAGGGACGCTGATGGGACGCTTTCTAAGATAAGAGGCATACTCCGAATGGCCAGCCAATACTGTGTGGCCCCACAGAGAGGCTTTCTAAGTTTATTTTTCAATCTAGAATTGAAACACGGATGTGTTTATTCCCGTGCAAGTCCTGCGTGGGAGAAAGGACAACCATGCCTTGGTTCTTGAGCCCCAGGGCTGCTAAGCTGGAAGGACAGAGGCAGGAGTGGGCCAGGCTCTGGGGCGGGAGGCCTGAAGCCTCACAGGGCCTGTGAGGCAAGATCTTGCCTGGAAATTCAGGGCACTGAAAAGCTCGCAGGCACACAGGGAGGGAAACCATGTGGAGGAAAGGTCACCAGTCAGTGCATGGGTCAGCATCAGGCCTGCGGAATAGCCTCTGGAGAGCTTTGGGCCAAGAGCACGGGCTGCAGGTTAGAGGGCGTGATGGTGCAGGGTACGGACTCAGGGTCAGAAAGGGGGAAGGGGCAGTAGTGCAGCATGCACACATTTCCCTTCCAGTAGGTGAGACGCAGGCTCTGGGGACAGAGTGTGACCGGACTGGACTGAGAGAGAACAGGATGTCAGTTGGCTTACGTAGGAGAAGCTCCAGGGAGAGGCTTGAGAGAACGTGTGGGTGGGATTCCAGGCAGCGGAGGTGTGTTCTGGAGGGGGGTGCCCAGTGTGCCCTCAGCAGCCCCACCCACACTTAGGAAGAGGAGTGCTCCTCAGGCCACAGAGACCATCACTAACCCGCCAAAGGGCGCTCTTGTCACTTGAAAAGCTTAAAGAATGTTAAACTTGGAGAAGAAGAGGTTAATATCTACCACGCAGAAGATGTTCAGGTTTGCCCTTCATGGCACAGGTCACAGCTGATGGCCCGGACAGTTCAGAATCACAAAAGGCCCTCCCATCGGGCTCTTGCTGGGTTAGCACCTGCAGATGGGCCCAAACGGGAGATGTGCTCCAACAGAGAGGAGGGGAAGAAAGGAAAAGGGAGGAGGACGGGGGTGACTTGGCACCTCGAGGACCCCAGGAAGCACCATGGCGAGAACAGGGCCGGCCTAAGCTTCAAGGAGAGAAATCCGCTCCCTCTAAGAGAACCCGGCTCTGCCAAAATGCACAAGACAGACCTGAGGACGCATGGCCTCCGTGAGTCTTCATATTAGTGTTTGAGATGTGACATTTGAAACAGCGGTAGAAAAATGAAGTAGGAATGGGGGAAAATAGTGATGCAGGAAGGTAAGCACAGAATTTGTATTTTAACTACAGTCTCACAGCTGCCATCACATTTGTCTTCTCCTCTGTGAGCCTGATTCTACAGTAGAAGGTTGTGTGTGTGTGCACACGTGTGTGTTGGGGGGGTGGGGCATGGTGCACATGCTCGAGCTGTGGAGGCCACAGCGCCCCTGGGACGAAGGAGGGACAATTCTTTTTACCCCCCACCCCAACCCCTGCTCCAGCTGCGCCACGTCCCTCAGGGAAAGGGGCAGGTGCCCACCAGCCCTGCTCTGTGTTCTGCCCACTCCCAGGCTACCAGGGCCTTTAGCGCTACAGACAGGCTCTTATCCAGGAGCAGACTCCCCACACGCTGGCAGATCCAAAGCTGAGCAGCTCCTGTCCTGCCAGCAGGCCCGCAGAATAAAGGGAGCCAGGCAGGGGGATGGCTGTTTTCCTGGAAGTGCTGGGTGCCCCTAGTTGGTGTGTCCCACCCTCACGGGCCAGAAGGTGCCATGCCCCTGGGCCACATGGTCTGTCCACGCAGGCTCCAGGGTCCCACCAGCCAGGCAGATACCTCTACAAACCAAGTTCACTGAGAGCACTACCACTTCTGTCTCACTTGTTTAGCGGAAGCCTGGAGACAAAAGGGAGAAAGCCTGGGATCAGGTAGTGCCCTATCAGCTGTCGGAGAGCCAGCGCCCTATCTGCTGTCCGTCCTGGAGGCTGTAGTCCGGCGGCTGGGTTTCTGCCCCGACGGTCCCCCCGCCATTGTCCCATCAGCAGCCCAGCACACCAGTTCATTTAAGACTCTCTGGCACCATCAGGCCCCTCGGGAAATGCAACTCACCCTTAAACCCCCTTCCAGCTGAGGCTTCTAGCCTCCCGATCACTGCCCCTGCCTCTTGCTGGGATCCACCACTGCCAGACCCATCCTCACAGCCCTCACTTTCCCTAGTGAGCCTGTGTGGCCCTTCCTGCACCCCAGCCCCGCTGCCCCCCAGCTGCCTGGGCTACAGCCTCTTGGGCTAGCTCATCCCAGAGTTGTCCCACTTTGCCGAACTTCACCTCTAACAAGTAGTCAAGGTCGATATGTGTTTCTCCCGAGTCACCCCATGGACTCTAGCTCCTCCTCTTGGCCTCTGTGACTTCCTGCCCAAAGCTCTCCCCCATCGTTGAGGACAGTACTGTTGACCTGGAGCTGACCACACCACCCTCCATCTGCGGGCCGCCCTGCCCGCATGAATCACACATCCCACAACCCGTCAGCTGCATGTGCACTTTTGAGGCCAGAGTCTTTGTTATGGGAGCTGAGGTACAGGCGCAGCCCCGTGGGAAGTGCCCAGTCTGTGTTCGCGCGATGAGCAGGTTCTGGGATATTCCTCAGCAGAGACCTCGCCAGCCCCGTGGAGTCGGATCTTTCCCTCGGACACCACTGGCCCTTTCCTCCTAAAGTCTTTATCCGAGTTATTCCCCTTGCCTGGAACACTTCTAACCCCAAAATGCCCCTCTTTTCCTCCAAGCCATGCCTATCCACTTTAAAAAGCACTCCCTTGAGAGCTTAGAGTCTCCCAAGGGCAGCTGCAGTGGCCTTCAAACATTTTGTTTGCTTCTCCCCTGGAAGAACTTGGGAAGAAAAGTATAAGTAACCCACTGAATATTTAAGGTTGAAAAGTAAAATATGAAGTTGAAATACAATTATTTTTATAAATATGAGGTTAAAAATACACATTTTTATAAGATGGAAGATGAGGAACCAATTATTAGGAATAAATATTTGATGACATGATTCACTAAAATAGATTTTAACCCACTTATTGAATAAGGCACACCAAATCCGAAAGTCATCATGCAAACCCTTCACACTGGGTTTTAGCCAGCGTATCTTGAAGATGTTTTAATTCTGGAAAAAATCTCAATTATGTTTAAAAAATGACATGAGTCATGAGTATACCTCACTTCTGAATTCGGAACCTCTCCCTGGGCAGAGCTGCGCCCTCGCGGGGCCAGCTTCCCTCCAGTGAGGGCAGCTGGGCGGTTGTGAATTCAGTCACGTTCTCGGGCAGTCTGAGCATGTGCAGGCACTGAGGATCTGAAAATGGATTCCCCTAAAACTGCCACCGTGCTCCTCAGAAAGTGGCTTGGCCAGCGCCACACCAAAGACCACCACTGCCCAGGAGGGTCGGGGTGGGCCCTGGGGAGCTGCAACCCCAGAAGGGTCTGGGTGTTGGTGGAGAAAGGAATTTCTGCCCGGGAGGGGCGGGCCCGCTTCCCTAAAGGCCCAGCTCTGGCTGAGCGTCTGGCTGTCCTTGACACCAGTGGAGACCTGCACACCGCCCAGCGTGCCAGGCTCACACCCACACACACTCACATGGTGCCTCCCCTAGCATCCAAGCTGTGCCCCGTCCACACCGGCGCTGGCCCAGCCCTGAGCGAGGAGCCCAGGCGCTGGCCCAGGGACTCCCCGGCTGTGGCCGTGCTTCGCGGCTCCCGAGGGGGGCTGGCTGTCCTGCGCCAGCAGTGCGTCCCCGACCCGCCCGGCCCACGTCAGGGTGCGGCGTTCCCTTCCCGAGGGCCCCGTTGGGGCAGAGAGGGAGGGACCCACCTGGACCCCTGGAGACAAGCTTGGTCCTCCCCTGGGGTGACGCCCTGCTGGCTGTTATTTTTTACTATCAGCTTTATTGACCCATCAGTCACGTACGGCGCGGCTCACCCACAGGGAGCGCGGCGCAGGGTTTCAGCAGAGCTGTGCCGCTGCCCCACAGCCACCCTGTTGGCCGGCAACCCAACTGCCAAAAGCAGGGTTCATCCACTCATTCAAAAGGAAGAGCTTGGGCGACGAGAGTAGCCGGGAATGGAATCATCCAGTGAGAATATTTAAAAGAAAGATTTTATTTATTTACTTGACAGAGAAAGAGCGCACAAGTAGGCAAAGCGGCAGGCAGAGCGGGGCTTGATCCCAGGACTCTGGGATCGTGACCTGAGCCGAAGTCAGATGCTTCACCGACTGAGCCCCCAGGCGTTCCACCAGTGAGGACACTGAACGGGAAGCCATGCCCATACTGCCTGTGACTATAGCCCATCAGCCCTTTACTTCTGTCCCAACCGACCGAGAGCAGTGTCCCACCTCCTTGTCGCTGTCCCGTGGCCGCCTCCTGGGTGCAACACCCGCCGTGTTCACGAGGCCTTTGCTCTCTCCTGCCAGGTGTTCCACTGCGTCCACTTTGAATGTCCGGAGCAGCAGAGCAGCCAGAAGGAGGAAAGCAGCGAGGAGTCAGGGCCTGGGGAGCCCAGCCTGGCGGGTCCGCAGCTCGACCCCCACGCCCTGCAGGCCCCCGGGGGCAGCTCCCTGCCTTCCAGCCCCCGCTCTGCCTCTCGCTCGCCCAACCGGCAACACCAGTAAAGGGGGCACGGACATGGAGGCATGTGGTGGGCCCTGAGGGCAGGGGCCAGGACTGGCATCCTCCCGGGAGGGATCTCTGTCGCCAGGCCCTCTCCCCTCCTGGGAGGAGCAGACGGCGCTGGCAAAACAGACACAGGACAGGCTTTCTCCCAAGGACAGAAAGGGGCCACTTTGTTCTCCTCTCAATTTGTTCAAATCAGGCTGGTCTCCAGGGGGAGAAAATGGGTCTTCAATCTTCATCAAGTCCACCATTAACACCCTACCTCTCTAATCTAACCCGGGCAAAGAGGCCGCGGTGGACGGGCCGGTGTCGGAATGCTGCGACGGCACCAAGCTCAGGAGAACGCATCAGGCCTTTATTACCTCCGGGCACCCTTTAGGAAGTGGGTTTCCGTAGAGTGTTTACTCTTCTGGAACACATTGCCCTGGCAACTAAATGATTTTTTCTTTCTTTTAGTTATTGTCCATTTGCTGAATCATAGGTGTTCCAGATCTTTTTGAAATGCTCAAACAGCAAATCACTTGTTTTATTCCCTTTTGATGCTATAATTTTCCTTCTTTAGTTTTGAACGGTTAGGCCTGGGGTGGAGCGGAGAAAGGCTGTGCACAGCTCCTGAATGAGGCACAGATGCAGCTCGTCATGGCACCGGGGCTGACAAGGAAAATCTTCTGAGGAAGTTCAAAAAAATACACAATGAGCAAATCAATCCGAGGACACTGGAGTTAATAATCACTCGAATTCCTGAGTTATTAACCTGTCATTCCTGAAACGTACCCAGCCTTTAAGCTTGGGAGGCTGACAAGGAAATGGTTATTTTTGCCACCTGCTAATTTCCTGTTCCTGAGTCTGTAAATGTACCTGTAAGTCCACAGCAGCTTCCAGTAGGGCTGAGCCCGCCCCTGAATCACCACCAGTAAGCCGAGCCGTGGAGACGGTAGTCCCCTGTGCCGGCAAGTGTCAGCAGCACGCTCCTGGGGCTTTGCAGGGTGGTCATGGCGGATCAGTCTTTGCTGTGTTTCATCCCCAGACCTGACTACTCGGCCAAGGTTGAGAAGAAAAAGTAGTTCTAAGAAGCTTTTCTCCTCATCCTCATGGAGCCGATCTCTGACTGCCGCGGCTTGATGGGGCTGCGCTCCCTCTCCTTCCTTAGTGCTCTCCAGCCCGGCGCTAACTACCCTTTGTAACGTGCTCAGCCTGCTGTCTGGGGTTCGCTCACCTCCGGAGCCCCGCCAGGCTGAGCACCGCTGTCCCCTGGTCCCCCAGACGCAGGCTCAGGTCCTCTGCATACCCTGTGACCCCCCACTTGGAGGAGGGTGGGCTTACAGGGGGTTCCTTTTGGGGTCTTAACGCTCACTGGTTGCGGGTGGACACAGAGCCCCTCTAAGTAAATGCTCTCCCCAGCGTAGCTCGGTCTTGAGTGATCTCTCACTATGGGAACAACAGCGGGGCATCAAACCATAGGATGAAGCCGGAAGGTGGGCTTTCTGTTTGAACAGGAGCAGAAGGAGATAGTGGGGGAGGGAGGTGCAGGGTGAGGAGCCACAGCACCGCCCATCAGCTCAGCTCACTCATCTTACCCCTTCCCCACTGTGTGGGGCAGTTGGAACCCCTGAGGGGTGCCAGGCATCTCACAGGAGACGGGAGGCTCCCATGACAGATGGCAGTGCCACTCGCTCGCCATGGGTGGCCGCGCTGTATGACTTGGCCACTGCCGTTGTCAGCATCCAGGACGCGGTCACCAATTAGCAGAAAGAATTCCTGTCCACTCGGCACTTCCTTACACAGCGCAGTCATTACCCGGCAGGGAACAGAAGGAGCCAAGAAGCCAGCGAGTGCAGAGTTCAGACGCCTGGAAAGTCTCCATTCAAGGGTTTCTTTTTAAACTTTGAGGTCATCTGTCCAGAGATGAGTCCCTGGGCTTGGCTGGCACTGCTGACCTGGGAAGAGGTGAGTGGGCGGGTGAGGACCTGGAAAGTTCCAGTCCTCTACCTCCAGACCGTTGGTCCCACGGGCCCACCACACACGCCACCAGGCCAGGTCTGGCAGCTCCGTGTCACATCGAAGAGTCACAGGCCGAGAAGCTTCTGCACCAGACCCACATGTGGGTGCCTCCCGGCCGGCAGCTGGCTGCCTCTTCCTCTCCCCTGTGGATCCCTTTCCTCGGCTCTCCTTGCACATACTTGCCCTGAGGGCTGTCTCAGGGGATGGGAGTTTGTCAGATAAGGAAAGGAAGGGGAAGATGAGGTGGTGGCACTGGCCTGCGGCAGCAGGGAGGACAGGGACATGGCCTCCTTCCCACCCCACAGCTGTGTCCATCAGGTCCCCGCACTCATGTCTCCTGGGCCTGGCGGGAGGCCTCGCTTGCATGGAGGCCCACTCTAGATCCCAGGCAGACACCAAGGAAGCTCCGAGAAGCTGCTCTGGTCTACCTCCTGTTACCAGGCCAGTGGGCTCTGCCTTCCGTGATGGGCCTTTTAATTTGGGAAGGAGGGGAGGTGGGGGGCTCTTTCTGCAAACCCCAGTCAAACTGTGGGGCCCCAGACAGACACGGCTCTCCAGAACCCTGGCTGGTCCTGTGGAGGACTCCTCCCTGCTGCCAGCTAGACCAAAATGGCCCCCACACTTGAAGAGACCAACAGAGCTAAATGGGAGTGCAGGTAAGACAGGCCCACAGTCGGGCGGGGTCCCAGATGCCTGCAGGGTCCTCGACCCTGCGGAGGGTGGATGCTGTTCCCCTGTGAAGTGTGAGGAAGGAGTCACGCGGGGCCGGGGCACCTGAGGGCCCCTGCCCTATTCGGGTACAGACTGTGTGGTCTGAGAGGTCAGGCAAAACCTGACCCTCTGTGGGGACCGATAGCTGGGTGCTGGGGGCCTCTGGCCCATTATTGCGATGCTTCTCAGTTACTGTGAAACAACACCCTCGCAACCACTATCCAGGTCAGAAAACAGAACACGGCCAGACCCCCTGCCCTTGCCTTTAGGCCATGATTTTGGGGAGAGTAAGAATCCACTGCACTGGGGCTTTGGGGGATAGCCTTCGACTCCTGACAGCTGCTGGGAGGGCCGGCTGGGGTGACACTGGGCACCGCAGGTGGGGCCTGCGTCCACTGTCCGCATGCCCACGGGGCTGGCGGCCTACTCGTCAGATCCAGCACCGGCGATCTGAAGCAGGGTAATAGTATGACAGGCGCGCCCACACGCACACACTTGTTTTCCCATATTCTCAGTGCTTTTTCCTGTTTCACTTCCAACTTTCGTTAGAACCATGAGCTTGTGATGGATGTGGGACTCTTCTCAACTGCTCTTTAAATTGTCACTTTTTAATCTTATTAAATGAAGTGTCGATTCCTGACAAATACATTAAAAGTGTTTTATTCCTAGAAGAGTTAGGAAAAGAAATTATTTTCAGCAAGAGTGGGATGTGTTTGTTAGACTGATTCCTTGGCCCCCCAAAAAAATGTTTTTTGAATTGTGCAGAAATTGCTCAGTAGTTATGCTGTCGCCCCAATTGTCAAATTGCTGTGCAAATGGCTCCAACCCAGTCAACTTCACCTTTTTTTTTTTTTAGAAGATAACAAAATTGTAATCACTTATTCTTCCTAGAGACTCAGAAGAAAAAGAAGGTATAATCTGCAACAGAAAGCAGAGCATCCTGTGTGCCGAGGGTCACTTGGGAAAAAAGGGAGTGAACCCCATTGCGGGCTTCAATTAAGAACCTTCCTTTGGACAAGTTAGAATGGTGTCAAAAGAGGGAAAGAAAATGAAATGTGTCTCCTTCCAGGAGTTTCTCCTCATTAGCGCTGTCTCTCAGGTGTGCCCGTGTCAACCCCGCCTCCTGCGCAGGTGCCCTCCTCGGGAGGCCGAAGGCCGGGAGGCGCCGGGCAGGGCGGCCGCTGTCAGTGTGGGCGCGGCGGGCGAGGGCCAGGCTCCCTGTTTCCGCCGCTCCAGCCATCGATTCTGTGTGTTTGTCCTGACAAGGGCTCCAGCAGGAGTTCAGTGCTCATTAGTGGCCCGAGGAATTTAAAATGCGGCTCATGGTTCTGTACCACTATGGTTTTTATTATGATAATATTAAATTAAAAGTCATCTGGGTGCCTGGTGTTTGCTCAGGACTTTCTGGAAAAGGGGAAGGGAACGGTTTAGATGGCATGGAGGGCAACTAGGACGCTCTGTTTCTCCTCCTCGGAGTGGACCAGCCAGCCTAATTACCGAACGGGATGAGAGAATGCGTGGGCAGGGTGGTGAGAAGGGTTTGCTTGGAGGATGGACCCGCTTCCCATTTGCCCCAGCCCTGGCTAGCCCTGTGCAGTTTGGTGGGGAGGAAACTGGACATGGTGACTCCGCAGATTTCCATCAGACTGGCTGGGGGGCCGTGCTTCTCCTCCCTCTGCAGACGTGGGAGCTGCTCAGACGACTGCGAGCTCCTCCATGGGGACCCCTCCCCCTGCCCAGGTCCCTTCAGGCAGGACTTTCCGTTGGAATGCGGCCTGGGACCTACCTCCGTCGCAGGGGTGTGGCGTGGAGCAGGTGCACAGACCAGCTTCCCATCCCACACACTTTGAATATCCTGGTCTCTTAAATTACTCGTTAAAAAATATAGTAAAGTAGTAACACTCTTGGGATAATATTCCAACCTAGCAGGAGAGACAAAGGTGCCCTCATTCTCATCTGGTTCTGAGTCAATCTTGACCTGGGCCAGGTCATTTTCTCTGTGATCGACTCCTCGCGCGGGACGATAGTGCCCCCTTACCCCTGCCCCTCAGTCCTCCTTCCCAGCACCCGGCCCCTCCCAGACAAAAGCCAGATTGTGAAAGGGGCCCTCCCATCCCATCAGGTTAGTTTTTTTTTTGTTTGTTTGTCTTTTTAAAGAACTGAAATATTACCCAAGGGGCCTCATGGCCTGAAGATTCACAATCATCCACCTATAATTTATGGTAAGTGTCTCGAGCATTTACCATTTGCATCCTGAGTATTTATAGCCCTGAGCCAGGAGCCGTGGGAGGAGGAGGAGAAGGCCTCCACCTGCCTCCACCACGGTCTTCTGTTCGGCTGTCCCTGCAGCTGGGACAGCTGAGGAATGCCACCTCCAAGAGCCAGTGCAGGGGGGCTCCGTCACACCTAGAGCTGAGAGGCACCAGCTCTGCACAGAACAGCTAGTGCTACTCTGAGCAGAGGAAAGATGGGCAAGGGTCTGAGAGACTTCTAGGGAGGGGATCTGGGCTCTGGGGCTTGGGTTTCTGTGGATGCCCTGGGAACACCAGTGTAACTACTTCCGTCCACCCGTCCGTCACCAAATATTCACGTCCTGTCACATGAGCCCCAGGGTTTGTGGCCCAAGACAGGGTGCGGGGGCCGGCTGGTCCTCCCATGGCTGCTTCCAGCCCCATGTTCCAGGTCACTCCTCACCCACATCTCCGTCCTCCAGGGCCCCGGTCCCAAATTCTGTAACAGTTCCCTCTAAGACCTGCCCCAGGCTGTGGGGTTTCGCCATCCACAGGGCCAGGCACCTCCGGTGAATTGGGAGAAGCTGGCAGGCGAGATCAGCGGGGGCCCTGGGCCAGGCCTGCTGTGGCCTGGAGGAACAAGCACTGGGCCGTTACCCAAGGGCCTTGGGGCCCAGCCTCTCCCTGCCTCGCCCTCCCACAGGACAGCTCAGTCCTCAGAGCTCCCTTCTGAGAGGCAGCGGCCACTCTGAGGAACACCCAGAAAGC